CTACTCAAAGACAGCAAGAAATTGTTAAACAGCACAAAGCCAGAGTTCAGTCAGAATCATCAAGACAAGCTGGATATACAACGTCAAACCAGAGTTCAAGCACAAAAATTAAGACAAATACCTTACAGAGAGCAACATGATGTACGACTTCAGGCTCAAAGAACAACACAAGCTCAAACACGATCTAATTTCAAATAAAGCTTTGTTTGATTAAACGCTTTTTTATTTCTCGCATCATAGCTTTTGTCTACTTACTGAATAAAATACTGATATATATACATTTCAAATCTAAATTTTCACCGTGCAACGCCGAGTAACTCAGCTAGTTTATATATATATATGTAACCAGTTTTTATCGAATATCCATTTCGCATGTGTTTTATTGGGTACTTATTCGTGCAATACAGAAAATAAAATTTTATCACACTAGGTTGTTTGTTCAGCTGTATACTTGTCATGCCTGTTACAAGTATACGTTAAATAAGTCCCAGAAAAAAAAAGTCATGTTACATTACTGGTTGTCAGCATACAATATGTATATAAATTTAACATTTAAGTATTTTATGAAATCATTAACTGAAATCTACTGGAATTGGTAAATAGGTTTAAGTTTATCCTTGCGATCAAATTGTCGGGTTTGTTAAATTGTCAGTCTTTAAAATACTTTTCATTTGTTTGACCTTAGTTTCTTAAGCTATTATTTTTCCTGTATGACATAGTTTGGTCTTTTAGTTTGAAAAAAAGCTTTATTCATTTAGAAGTAATTTCACTACACGTTCAGCTATGAAAATCCTTTATGAAAATAATTATAAACACCAGTACTTATCAGTGGATAGTAGGAAACAGTTCCAAAGCGCAGATTTTACAATGATAAATTGAAAGTATAAGGAGCATGTCATTCAGAAAATTAATATAATTTACAGCTGCTATACAAGTCAAATATATAAAGGTGGAGGTGTTTATACTTCTTCAATAATTCTTTTATCTCTGCCTAATGTTATATGTATGGTAATTTCTTTTATTTCTCAACGCTCAAGACGAGTTAAGGTTACACTTTACTCCAATCTGAGTCGTGGTTTGATAATTGAAAGCCTAAGCAGTGTGGTTATATACACCTGGAAAAAAGTTAAGCACCCCCAAATATTTTTCAGGATTGCTTATTGAAAATAAGGTTTAATTTTCATGATGTTGAGCAATGTTCATAATTTCA